AAATATATATATATATATATTTACGCAAGGTACGTGTGCGCACGCGCGCCCAAGACCCCAGGAAGAGACTGGGGGAGGGGGGATTGGAGCGTGGCCATCCCCTCTGGGGACTGATTCTCACTTTCCCTCTCACTGTGTCTGTGTCTCTCTCTTTAGGGAGCGCACGCATGCATCCTAGAGCTAAAACTTCTAAAAGAAAAAGAAAAAAAACGAGGAAGATCTTCGTGCCCTCATCCACGGATGGGTGCAGGAGGGAGCGGCATGCCACGCCACGCGCACCCGGAGATGCGCCTACAGGGCTGGAACCCTGGGCTGCAGATCCTCACGATTCTACACGAACCTTTATCTTTCTCTTTATGACCATAAAACTTGCCCGATGAAAGTCTAAAATGCCCAAATTGGGAGTCATTGGTGGACTGCACCCATCGGTTTCTCCAGCGCTCTGTGGGGGGAAAACGACACCGGTTAGAGCTGAAAAGTGCCCATTAGGGTTAAAGGGAAGCTTCGCTTTCGCCCATCCTGCGGCGACCAGACGGGGACAACCGGCACTTTGCCATCCTCTGGGCAGCGGGGGATAGGGGGGACTCTGTCTCCGCCACCACAGGCGCATCGCCTCTTCACCTCCGTCTAGAAATTCCTCCTGGAAATAGACGGTGGCGAGCGCCAGCCGCATCACGCAGACCCACAAGAGAGCGACACGAGCCCGGGCCATCGAGGCGAGCGCTGGGCTTCTCGTCTCTGCCCCTTTGCTCCCGGCAGTCTGTGCGGCTCGCCCAGCCCGTTCCCGAAACTACAACTCCCGAAAGGCCACGCGATTATGACCTGGGGCACCATTGGTTTCTGACGCGCGGTGCACGCTGGGCCAGCCACACGGAACTACCACTCCCATGATGCCTCGCGATTGTGACCTGGAGCGCCATTGGTTCCCGGACCGCGGTGCACACCGGGGGATGTAGTCTTTTCCGTTGTGACGTGGTTGCCCGGGGCAACGGCCCCCTTTGGCCTGAGTGCTTGGCCTGAGCATGGCGGCGGCTTCAGTGGATGGGCACGATGGAAGAGGTAGGTCTTTGGTACAAGAAGGTTGGGGATGAATTGGACCCCGGGCTCGCGACAGGGGCTACCGAGAAATGAAACACGCTCCGGGGCTGAGCTGATCGGACGGCCCAGTGCCTCGGTTCCCCTTCTGGGACGCACTGGGGCGCGGTCCCGATCGAGTCCCTCCGCGGCGGGAGCGGGAGCGGGATAGGCTGGCGGCGCCGGCGTTGTCCAGGTTTTGCTATTTCTGTGTATCGGCGTCTCAAGGCATCCCGTGTATGCGGTACTCTTCATCCTGCCAAGTGCAGCTCTGTTCTCTCTGAGTAAGTTTGCAAAGTCGTGCAGCCATCGCCGGGATCCAGCTTTAGAACTTCTCCATCACGCAACGGGAGGCTTCGGGTCCTTTGCCGTGCAGACCCGCTCCCAGCCCCTGGTCCACGTCCAACCCCAGGGCCAGCCCCAGCCCCAACCCCAGCCCCTGGCCCAGGCTCAGTCTCAGCCCCAGCCCCGGCCCCAGCACCCGCCCCACCTGCCTCCTGCATTTGTAGATTCACCTTTTCTGCGCAGTTCTTACAAACAGGAGTCACAGGGTGTGGGGTATGCCATTTGGGTCTGGCTCTGATCCCGCACTACGAGGTGTTTGAGATTTCTGCATAGTGTTTGATCAATATTTGTTCTTTTTATTTAAAAAAGTTTTAAAGAATTATTTTATTTAACTTTATTTATTTTAATTTGACCAGAGAAGGACCGAGCAAGGAAGAGAGAGGGAGGGAAAAGTGAGAAAGCAAGCTGCCAGGTCCGAGACTCAAACCATGGTCAGCCCTGTGGGAGTCCAGTGGCTTTAACCACCTCGCCTTCTGCTGGTCCCTATTTATGTATTTTTTTAGAGAGAGATTTTTGCTATAGGGCGTGTGCACTCACCGGAGAGACAGAGACAGAGAGACAGAAAGCGAGAAATCACCCCCAGGGGGGATGGCCACACGCCACAATCCCTTCTCCTCCATTGTCCTTGCAGGATCTTGGGCACGCACGCACACACCAGGTGTGAGTTTTAGGCCACCGGGTCCGGGACTCGAACCGCAGTCAACTAGGTGGGAGTCCAGTGACGTGACCGTTATCCCATCTGCTGGTCCTACTATTATTTTTATTTTAAAATTTGACCAGAGAGACACAGAGGGAGAGTGTTCAAGCAAGCCACCAGGTATGGAACTTGGACTATGGCTGGCCATGTGGGAGTCCAGTGCCTTAACCACTGTGCCGCTTGCTGGACCACAGTTTTGTTCTTTTTTTTTTTTTTTTGGAGAGGTTTTTGCTATAGGGCGTGTGCACTCGCCAGACAGAGACATAGAGACAGAAAGCGAGAAATCACCCCCCAGGGGGGATGGTCACGCCGCAATCCCTTCTCCTCCATTCTCCTCTCGGGATCTTGGGCACGCACGCACACGCGCCCGGCGTGAGTTCTAAGCCACCAGGTCCGGGACGCGAACCGCGGTCGACTACGTGGGAGTCCAGCGACATAGCCATTACGCTAACTGCTGGCTCCCTAGTTTTGTTCTTTTTGTATTCAGAAGAGTACTCCAGCCTATGGATGGGGCATAGTCACTCAGTTAATGTATATCAGGTTGTTTGCTCTTTTCGTCCATTATGAATATTAATTTATAAATATTTGCATACATTTGCTTATCTCTTGGAGGCACATGGGAATGGAATTGATAGATCGTTATGGATTATGGCACCTCTGTTTAACACCAGATTTTTTTCCTAATTGGGAGTACACCATTTTATAATTCCCCAACAGCATATGAAGGTTTCACTTTTTTTTTGAGAGAGAATTTTTTCCTATAAGGGTGCATGCGCTTGCCAAAAAGACAGAGAGAGACAGAGAGACAGAAAGCGAGAAATCACCCCCCAGGGGGGATGGCCACGCCGCAATCCCTTCTCCTCCATTCTCCTCTCGGGATCTTGGGCACGCACGCACACGTGCCTGGCGTGAGTTTAAGCCACCGGGTCCGGGAGTCAAACCGCGGTTGACTACATGGTAGTCCAGCAACATAGCCATTACGCTAACTGCTGATCCCCCTAAAATAATTCTTAAAATTATATATATAAAATAAAATGATGATAAAATATGCATACCATCCAATTTGTCATCTTAATCATGTTTTCAATGATTTCCTTTTAATGAAACCTAGGAAAGCGTTCAGAAGAACTGGGTGTCTGAAAACTGGCCCAGGGTCAGGTCTCCCCTCCAGGCCTGAGTGGCCTGGGCTGAGTCACCTCCTGGACCTTGGCTACTGACATTAGGGAAGGCTTACTGATGTCCCAGCGGGCTTGGCGTCCGAAGGCCTTTGATAGAGACTTGGAGGTCACTGCGTCCTTTCAGCCAACAGGTATCCCGTTACGCAGGTATTATTCCCGTCTACCGAGATGTACGATGGAGTGCTCATTCCACTGTCCACGCTGAAGGCAGGACCCAGTGAGAATAATATAGGTTGGGTATCCCGTAATCCAAAATGCTTGGGGGGACCAGCAGTTAGAGTAATGGCTTTGTCACTGGACTCCCACGTAGTCGACCGCGGTTCGCGTCCCTGACCCGGTGGCTTAAAACTCACGCCGGGCGCATGTGCGTGCGTGCCCAAGATCCCGAGAGGAGAATGGAGGAGAAGGGA